TGGTGAACACACAACACAGGGTATATATATGCCTTAATGTTCAATTGTACGCCTGAAACACTGGACTTTGTTAACCAATGTCACCATAATAAAAAATTTTTTTAAATAAAGAATAAAAAACTAAACTCCTTCTTTTAAAAAGGTTTCCAGCCATGGAAGTTAAGCTGTTTGTTTGTTCGTTTAACAGTATGCAGCAAACCTTTACTGAGACAAGAGGATCCCAATAGTATTTACACTATATTGCAAAGCAAGAACTTCCATTTCTAAAACTCCACGGGTTTTTCCTCTGGTGTCCCCCCAGACTCCAACTTCCCATTTTGTTACAGTATTTGATTTCACAGAAGTCAATTTCTACTGCCAATCCAATCTAAACTCTAACCACAAAATGCTAATCTCTCTAAACAAAGGAAAATAACACAAAGACTTATTTTAGCCTCCTGCCCAGATCATGGTCTGTTATGGTTATGATTACTGATGTTTTTATTGTCTCCCTTGCATTTTTTTTTTCAATTACAAATCTTGGAGAATATGCTCATCTTCTTTTCAAGATACTTGATCCCACCACCCCTAACATTTCCTCTTCAAAAATCTTAACTCATCCAGTGACAAGTTCTTAATCTATCTTCCTGCAACACTCAACACCAGTGACTACTTCCTCCACCCTTGGCCCCTGGACATTACCCTCTCCTGTTATTCATGACCCCTTCTCTTTACATGATGATTTTTAAATCTGTGTCTTCAGTCTGAATATCTCTGACAAAGTTCAGGTTTCAACTGCATCCTGAATATAGATGGCTCCTAGATATCTCACTGGAGCTTCAAATTCAATGTGTTCAAAATCAAACTTAGTAAATTTGCTGTGCCTGCGCTGTGCGCAATTAACCAGCCAACTCTGCATACCAAGAAAGACCTTCTTGGAGCTAGCAGGATCCTGTAAGACAGTATTTCCATTAGTTGGGTACCAAGGCCTCCCCTCTGAGTGATCTAAGTTGTTATTCAGCCAAGACCACCTTGAGTGAGTCACAACCTTTGACTCAGTTGGCAACCCAGCTATAGGCAGGCAGAAGTTACCTGTAGCCAAAATTCTTGTGACAAATGAATTACTACAAAATATTCTTAAGCTAATAACATAATGGCTGAGAACACCATGTGACTGCAATTCAAGAGAAGTGCTGGGATGGCCTCCTTTGGAGAAGCCAATGTGCTTCCCAGTACCTAAAGGTTGTAAACCACTCCCCTTGAGGTGATCATGGAAACAGTTTAATTTTGATTCAAGCAGTATCTCTACTAACTTAATAATGTTTCTTTCTCCTCCAGGACTGGATTTCAGATAAAACCTGGTTCAAACCCACAGTTGCCAAAGCAGGGGTCATCATCTATTTGGAAGCTGGGGAAGAAAAACTAGAGAGGGTTGATGGAAAGAACTGACACCAACTGACCTTAAAGAGAAAGTTCAAGTTGTTTAGTAGTGTGAGTCCCAGTGATTGAGAAGAAAATAAATCAGATCATGAGAAAACCGAATGCCTGGAGATGCTATCCTTGCAGAATTCTATAATTGAAGATGTAGTGGGGTGAACTTAAGCCCTCAGGCCTCTGCCCCCACCGGGGCCTAATGGAGCAACAACTGGTTTCTGCTGTTATGCTAACTGCAGGACATTTTTATTCTGCTAGGTGAGAGAAGCTAGATGAAACTAGAAGGGGGTTTTAGAGGTTGTGGGAGCTTGAGGATTAAGAGATGGAATAAAACTATGAAAGACTGTCTAATTCAGGAGTTTTATTTTGTAATAGTGTGTGTACTATAACCCGCCCCCCGCCTTCATCTTCTCATCAAGCATTCAGTAAAATCTATGTTACTGCCATGGTTTTAGAGTTGGATTCCCCCTCCCCTCCTTTTTGATTTAATTTTGTTTTTTAATTATGTATTTACAGGGTCTCAAAATCAAAACTATATTAAAAGGTACATTCATAGAAGGTTTACTTTCATCCTGCCCCCTCTACCCTGTTCCTTCTCACTACCACCCAAAGGCCTCACAAATCACAAACATCTCCCCCAAAAAATGTTTTCTTCAGTCAATTCAGACCCAAGGCTTCACTGGTATAGCAGAACCCACAACCCTAAACATCAGCTAGTAATAACTGTTCAGGCCCAGAGAGGTACCTCACCACATCTCATAACCCACGTCCTGAAAATATGAGGCAACTGTGTCCGAATACCATGAAGATCTGTGGTTTATGCGGAATGGATTTGAGCAGTTGAAGCCCTTAGTTAAGAAAAGAAATACATTATTTAACTAGTCAAATCCTCTTGCTTTTCTTCCTGTTCCAGTTGTTGTTCTGGAAGTACTTGAAAATTAATGCAGTAGTTGCAATAGTGGCTGAGAAATATTTGCATTATTAATTCATATTTTAAAAATTTTGTATATATGTAAGTCAAAATAAAACAAGCATACATGTTTAATTGCTTTTAGCCCTTTTTGACTTAAGGAAAGGACTGGAGAAAAAAAGCAACTTACACTTTTAGGCATTTAAAAGATTATTGAAGACAAGTCCATGATAACAGGGCTCACATGGTTAGTAAACATAAAGTTAAACAAGCCAGAATTTTCACCAAAAATTCAGAAGCTTTTTTTGTGCCATGTATCCTATATGGCACACAGTTGAACTTGTTACTGTACCTGACCTCAATTGTGCTGATCACAATGGCATTCTTTGGAAAATGAAAAAATTATATACAATATTTTCTGAATCTG